GTTCGTTCCTGCTGGCGTGGAAGTGATATCTTGAGCTCGTTCATGTGTTGTTTTAGCTGGTGCACATAACCAGTCATATCTTGTGGAATTTGGTTACCTGGGGTGAAAAATTCTCCTGGTAGTCGTAATGTTGTTCCATAGACTAGTTCGGAAACACAGCAGCCAATATCTTTCTTTAGAGCAGATCGTATACCAAGCAGTACCAGTGGGAGTTTGGTTGACCAGTCGTTTTGAGTCAGAGAAGCAGCGAGCGCAGCTTTGAGTTGTCGATGAAGGCGTTCAACCATGCCGTTGGAACTAGGATGGTAGGCGGTTGTTCGTATTCGTTTGATGCCCAGTAATTCAGTTAGCTGTTGAAAAAGTCGGCTTTCAAACTGAGCACCTCTGTCCGTAGTGATAATGGATGGGACACCAAAATTAGCTATCCAGTTTTCGACCAAAGCTTTAGCTACTGTTTCAGCGGAGACGTCGGCTATTGGAACTGCTACAGGCCAACGAGTGAATCTATCGATGCAAGTTAGAATATAGTTGAAACCATTGGAAGGAGGTAGTGGACCAACTATGTCTACATGTATATGTTCAAATCTAGAGTCAGGGTTAGGAAAACGACCAAGTGGTGCATTAGTGTGACGGTTGATTTTGACTCTTTGACAAGACAAGCAATTTCGTGTCCACTTCTTAACATCGCTACTAATGTTCGGCCATATAAATCTTTCTTTTAGTAGTTTGATAGTAACGCTGACACCGGGATGAGACAAGTTATGTAACTTCTGGAATACTGTATGTCTCATAGCTGCTGGGACGAAAGGTCGATATTTACCTGTAGAGGTGTCGCAGATTATTTTTTTCGTGCCAAAAGGAATTGCGTCTAGCTTCAAAGATGTTGTTTTAGAAGACATGATCTTTTTTAGCTCGGCATCATCTCGTTGTAGGTTTGAGAGACGTTCGTAGTCGATGTCTGGGCATACAATGTTGTCAATGTGCACACGTGATAAAGCGTCTGCCACTTCATTGTTTTTACCCTTTACGTGTCGCAGATCGGAGGTGAACTGAGATATAAACTCGAGATGTCGTAGTTCACGCGGAGAGTAGTTATCCTGTTTTGCTGATAAGGCTTTCGTTAGAGCTTTATGGTCTGTAAAGACAGTAAAAGTTGTACCTTCCAGCATATGTCGGAAGTGCTTGATTGCTAAATAAACAGCCAATAACTCTCTACCAAAAGTGCTATAGCGACATTGAGTAGGATTCAGTCGTTTCGAAAAGAATGCTAGGGGTTGCCATTCGCCATGTACTTGCTGTTGTAAAACCGCCCCGATGGGAACGTCTGAAGCGTCCGTCATGAGAGACAGGGGGCGTCATTTTGGCGTCTGACTAAAAGCGTCTCGTCATTTAACAATTGTTTAACAGTTTCAAAAGCTTTAACAGCTTCTGCGGGCAAATGGAATGAACGACTGTGTCCACGTAAGCAATCGGTTAATGGTTGTAAAGCTTTAGCACAGTTGGGAATAAAACGCCGGTAAAAATTAACGAGACCCAAAAATCGTCGTAATTTCTTAAAAGAATCTGGTAATGGATAATCTTTGATAGCTTGTACGTCATCAGGGACTGGTCTGATTCCTTGGCTATCGATTAAATGACCGAGAAATTTCAGTGAGGTCTTACCAAATTCGCACTTGTCTAAGTTGATAGTCATTCCGTATTGGTTCAGTCTTTCAAACACTGTCTTCACATGTTTCAAATGCTCGACTTCGTCTGCACTTGCAATTAGTAAGACATCGATGTATGCGTAGACGAAAGGGAGACCACGGAGTACTTGGTCAATTAGGCGTTGGAATGTCTGAGCGGCGTTCATAAGTCCGAATGGCATGCGTACGAATTCATATAAACCGAATGGTGTGGTAATGGCAGTTTTCAGAACGTCATCCGGGTGGATGGGGATATGATGATACGCTCGGACCAGATCGATTTTAGAGAAAACTTTAACATTTGGTAAGTTGCTAGCAAAATCGTGGATGTGTGGTATTGGGTATCTATCAGGTACCGTTTGCTTGTTTGAAGCTCGATAATCACCACACGGCCGTATTTCACCAGAAGACTTTTTGGGTACCATGTGAAGCGGTGAAGACCAAGAGCTGTTGGACGGTCGAATAATACCAAGCTCAAGCATTTTATCGAACTCTGTTTTGGCAATTTTAAGTCGATATGGGTCAAGGCGTCGTGGACGTGCAAAAACTGGTGGTCCAGTGGTTTTAATATGATGAACCACATGATGCTTCGGTTCTGTTCCTCGAAAAGAAGGTTGTAAAAGGTCAGGAAACTGATTTACCAAATTGGTATATGGAGATGCTGGTGTGCGTGTGACCATCAAGTTCAGTGATGATGCACGGCTAATCGTACCAGCAATGTACGTTTTATTGAGCGAATCTATTAGCTTGGGGCTTATCGGATCAACTAACAGTTTGTGTTGCTGCAGAAAATCAATACCGAGGATTGGGGATGGGACGTCTGCAATGATGAAAGACCAAGTGTAGGTATTCTTTAAACCAAAATCTAAAGTCGTTCGTTTACTTCCATATGTAACAATACTGGACTGATTAACAGCTTGGAGCGTAACTGCTGGGTCAGGGTGTTGACGTTCCTGTGTAGACGGAGGGAGAACACTCACCTCTGCTCCTGTGTCAACTAAGAATGTAGTACCGGTATTTTTATCTGTTACATAAAACAAACGACTGTTAGATCGTAGGTTGCCAACAGTATTTTTTACACATGACGATATATCTTTTGGTTTAGTCTGAAAATTGCAAGGTGAACGGCACCGTCGTGCTTTGCTTCCATAACTACGGTGATACCAGCAAATATTATCCCGATGTAGTGACGTGCTAGGGGATCGAGAAAGACGTCGACGAGACGAGCTTCTAGAACGGCTTGGTTGTGTGCGTGTAGTCAGTTTTGCTAACTGACTCAGTAAGGTGTCGACTTTGTGTTCTAGAGTCTGTATTCTATCGTGAGTGTCTGGTATTCTGCTGGTGGAAGCGACAGATTGAGGTGTTGACCTCTCGTACATGCGATCTGCGATTTCAGTGAGCCTTTCTATGTCAATGTCGTCATCTCCGAAAGCAAGAACCTGCTGGATGTTTGCGGGAAGTCTTCGTAGTCATATTTGGTAAAAGAGACGTTTATCGATTTCTCTTCCGGCAACTAGGCTTTGCATATGCCTCATGAGTTGAGATGGGGTTTTATCACCTAACTCAACATTGCTTAACAGGCGATCGAGTGCTTGCCTATCTGAAAGCGAAGTGCATCGCAGTACCTCTTCCTTCAACTTGTCGTAAGGTGCTTCTGTGCTGAGATGAACGATGTATTGCCGTACCTGCTCGGCGACTTCGTCTGGTAGTACTGTACTCAAAATGCAGAATTTAGCTGTCTGTGACGTTAGCTTATTGCTAGCCAAATAATGTTCCAGTCGAGCAAACCAAAGATGAGGGTCTCTGGGCTTAAAAACTGGTACAGTAAGAGAGATAGTACTAACAGATCCCAGCTCTAAGTTATCAGAGGTATTGGAAGACATGTTACAATTCGTAAAAAAAATGGTTTAAGAGTAGGAAAATGGCAAAATTTGTGCACAATGAGAATATGGCAAAACAGAAAAAATGCAATGCAGGTGCTTACCACAAATTACTGCAGGTTGTGCTATGAGCAAACACAAAAATGAGTTCGAATTGTTTAATAAATATATAAATCCGCGAAAGTTAGAGTTTTAATAATCCAGTAAGTGTAACAACGCGTCGAGGTCAAAAGTCGTCGTCGGAGTCAGCAATTTGTCGTCGGGATCAGCAAGTTATCGTCGGGGCTCACCAATTTGTTGCGTGTTCTATTTGACTAAATGAGCGTACACGTATTTCCTAGTACTTCTTCACGTTTATCAATGTGCGCAGACGTTGTGGCTACTCGACGCCCACAACGTAAAATCAGAAGGCACTTGTGAAGAGTGTAATCGTGTATTATAGCCGTAGTCAAATTTCGAAAAAGTATCAAGGTAACGTTCAACAGTAAATTGACAAATGTTTACGAAGTACATATAAAATCGGTATGTGTAAACATATAATATGAGTATGCAAATTAGATTAAAATCGTATGTTTATAGTTGGTATGGGGGTACTACAAGTCGAGGGCTGGAAGTCAAAAGAAAGATATACAATGAAACTCAGTGTGACCCATATGTGAATTCATCATAGCGTGTTAGGCCTAATATAGAAGAGCTGGTACCTGATAATAAGTGAACGACTGGTTGATTATGTCAGAGGCAGATGCACATATATATCAGTGCGATCTATTTGTATTCTTAAGTCGTTGAACTAGTCTTCCAAAAAATAATGAAGTCTGCCTCTGCTTTCAATCTGTTCAGGAAATAAATAAAGTGGCATAAAAACTCGATAACAGGGTTTCACTTCAGATTATGAAGCTTTATCCTTCATTGAAACATTGAAATTACAGAAAAAGAAGGCGCTCTTTTCAGTTTTAAGGTCATTAGTTTCTGCTCACCAACCTTAGTGAGTTTTCTTAATTTTGGATGTTAGTAGGCTTGTGAATATTGCCAAATAGTGGGAGTTAGTTTAGTTAGGTGAATACTTATTTATTTTAAGGTAGAGCTACACTGAAACGTCACGCATATTGTAGTAAATAATGGGAAATATGTGAACGCAACAGGTTATCCTGATTGTCATGTATATGTAGACCTGGCCAAAATTTTTTAAAATTTAGTTATTTGCACGTATGGACGTTATCAGTAAATCTCCTATGCTTTTAGAAGTAATATGCAATATTTTTGTTTTGTCATTTAAAAAAGACTATCTACGTTTTATTATCAAACTCCGGTGTTGGGTGTAGTAATTAAACCCAAATGCACACTACGATCTGTGGGTGAATGCTGGGGTATGGTTAGACGTTTATTAACAGTCACTGAATTTTGTTTTGGGACTCATTTGAAAAATATCATTATGAATGAAGTTCTCTTTTTTGTAGTGGGAGCAAAGGAAAAAATCACGAAAAAAGACAATTAAATACATGCATATATGTAAAGACCTAGGGGAAATAGACCTTTAAATCCAATTATCCTTTTTCAAATTAGTTTGCACTGTTTGAGGTGAGATTTCACCACAGTCTCCGTGGAAAATCGAAATTATTCAGATCAGAGTTCGTGATATGGAGAAAGGCAATATGTTAGAAGAGGCTTTTCAGTCCTAAATAGCATGCAACATTAAAATCAATCGTCATTACTTGTCCATCAAGTGAGCATCCTATCATGCATATGTATCACATATTAGTCCCAAGCCCATCATAAGGAAGACTAAAGAAATATTTATGGTTGATTCCCTGGGAAGTGCTTGTGAGTGTTAGCCAAGTGTCACATGAGGTTTTCTCTGCCCCATTTTAAAATTACAAACGTGATAACAGTTAACTGTAAGGTGTTCTCAGTACTTTTTTGTGATTGTAACCCTTGTTGTTGTTGTTTGTTACTTTCCTTGACAGATCCATCCAGACGTGTATTCATGTATGTCCTACTTCTCAAATCAGCCGGCGAAAATGCAACCAGTTGTAATGATGATCCTTATGTACAGGTAAATTGATTTTGTTTGTTAGTAGAAATCATAATTTGTACAAAATTAGGTCCTAACAAAAGCAGGCTTTACTGTCGATCTGCTGGAGACTCTTGATTTCATGTATAATACAGCAAACTTGGAAGAATATAAAAATTGGCGAAACAATCATAGTTGTATTGTTTTTAGCAGTCCACGTGCTGTAATTGCCTGTGTTAAGGCAGGATTGACAGGTTAGCTTCTTTAGCATAATGAGTTAACAAAAAAACATTCCACAGGAAACGAAAATGATCTTTGCTTTGTCGTTGGTCCAAGTACTGAATTACAAGGTATTTGATGAATTCAATATTTATCTTTTCGTGTTAAAGCTAAGAAGGCTGGATTTTCACCAAAAGGCGCTTCATCAGGAGATGCTGAAGAACTCTCAGATTTTATTGTAAAGCACTTTGCCTCAAGTACTGTCTGTTTCCACTCACTATTGTATCATTTCCTTATTGTTTTACAGAATTGGATAAGCCTATCTTCTTTCCATCTGGTCAAGTTCACCGTGATACATTACCAAAAGCTTTAGAAGCTGAAGGTAACTTACTGAGTATTTTGTACTGTATTTTTATATTTTCAGGGAAAAAGGTGAATACTGTTATCGCGTACTCTTCTGTAGAAAATACCAAACTTCATGAAAAGTTGAGATTAAATTTGTGTGTAAGTCATTTTCTTGAGTTATCTGCAAAGTATTTTTTACCTTTCATTCTTTGAAAATTCCCGATAATTGTCTTTGTCTGACAGACTGACTAGGTGCAACAGAAGTGAACCACTTCTAGTTGCGACGCTACACGTGGCACACAAAGGACAAAAGGTAGGCGTCGGTGGCTTAGTGGTTAGGACGCTCGCAGACCAATCACATGGTATGGAGTTCGATCCCCTGCTGACGCACACCTGATATCAATGGTCGGCCTGCTTAATTTGGGCTAGCTATATCACATGCTGAAAATTCCATACTCGCAACAAAAATACGCTGTGGAATCAAGCTATAATCAAACAAAAAAGGAAAATGAAAGAAAAGAGATTCGAAAGAATGAGGAAGAATAGTAACATAGAAAAACAATAGGGTTTTCCTAGACATGGCAGATCAAAGAGAGTGAGTGCATCTGCACTAACCATTGAGAAGGACGATTCTGAACTATATTACCAATTGTCTCCAGCCATTGGTTTCTAGTACCCCGGAGACCCCAACCAGACAGCAGTCTATGTGGCTGGCTCGAAACAACTGTTAATGATTCTATAGACTTATGCCACGTTTCGGTTTGACTACCACTAGTTCTTTGTGGTATCTGATGCTCCATTTGTCGTATTCACTTCACTTTTTTACATTTATCGATTATGATATCCTGGTGTATGTCTCATTCGTATGTGTTGTTCATTTGGTAAAGCTAAATGAAAAAGGCAGTACCAGAATTAAATTGATAAAAAAAGAAGACGTTAGTTTAAATTCTAAGTTATATTCCTTTTTCTCCTTTGAATACACCAACTGTTGTGTAGTAGATATTCATGGCTTTGTGTATGACAGTTAAGCTGTATTCAGTAGTCATTATTTTATATGCACGTTGTCTATTGATTTGTTCTACAACTCGAAAACTATTCATGGAAATTTGTTTTTTACTGTTTAGTAAAGAATGCGCTGTTCTAACAGAAAATAAAAGAACCATATGTAAAGCCAACACTGTTGATTACTTTCACCCACTTGTCTCTCATCAGTGACTCGGGGATTATAAAGCTATGAGCACTGGTCTTGTGAATTTACTTTTTTCTTCCAGATATCTAAAGGGTAAAGATATCGGTTACCATTAATGTCCTAATAAATATAATTTCGATATGATAGGGGTAATTTGAACTGATTCAGTCTTGATTGGTATGAACTACCTAGAGTATTAGTGCCAACCATTGGGTCTTTACTGGAGTCCACACTCAAAATTGGGTTTTGATTTGCACAACCTGAAAGGTTCCACTTTTTTATTGAAGCAAATTGCATCTGTCACTCAAAGTATAGCGTGATCTTGATTTCTAAAAACCTGCCCCTGAAGATTGCCAGCTATGAACAGGTTTCGTGTCAATTCCAATCACCACATCCTTTGATTTACTCTGCTCATCTTATAAAATGACGTTTAAAATAGTGCTGGGACTTTTGGTGTTTTTCTGGCGTACTTGTTTTTGTTTTACAGAAATATCTATCTATTTACTAACAAAAATATAGTGCTAATTTATATCTTTTTTATCTTTCATCTAAAGGAAGGAAATCCAATACCTGATTGTTTAGTATTTTTCAGTCCATCTGGTGTTTCACTAACTGAAAATATACTGCTAACTGAAATAAAACCACACAGGCCAAATGTCAAGGTAAGTGAGTGTGTATTTCATTTCATTGGTTTGACTGACTGACTGGTGTCAACATAGAACTTTGCACAGAAGTGCAGCAGTTCCAGTTGCCACTCTTCCTCTATGTAGCACACAAAGCAAGAGAAGAGAGTGAAGAGAGATAACAAACAGAGGTGTGAGTGAGGGAAAAGATGTAATATGAAAGAACAATAGAGTTTCACTGGATATGAAAAAATCAAAAATAGTGGATGTAATTGTACCAGCTATCAAGAACGATTTTGAGCCTTACCACCAATTGTCTTCAGCCTTCATTGGTTTTTTACCAACCACTGACTGACCCCATGTTTTGGTTTGACCACCACTATCTTTTTTCCAGCCTGATCCATCCTATTTACATGTAACATTGTCCACTGTCGAGGAAGGTGATGCTTAGGCATATGTAACAGATTTTCTAGCCACCTAAATCGATGTAGCTTCACAACCTCATCGATTGATTTTCTCTCCCTACCTAGCAGTCGACCAAAGCCTAACCTCAATATTATTCACCATATTATATCACCACCTAAAATGGGAGATAGAACGGAAACATTTATGATCAAAGACAGCTAGCTAGGCTTTTCATGTCTTCCACTTTCAATGGCCATGTCTCACAGCCACAAATGAAGATAAGGCAAACTGCTGTGCAGTACACACGACCTTTGATCGATGTCCTGGTGGATATCATGTCTGCACCACAGTAAGCGTCAGTTGAAAAACGCCACACAAACCTTTTGTACCCGTGGTGATGTTTTGTCAATGATCAACACTCTGGGGCTGATGGAACTTCTTAAAAAGATGAAGTGGTTGTCAATAAGCTCAGCAGGTTGAAGATGAGGCAGTAACTCATCGAAGAAGACATTGAGAAGTGGTCACGCTATGTCGTGAGTTGGAAGAAGTTAGGATTCATGGACTGGTCATTGGATCGGGTCCCAGTGGCTCAATGGTCTACAAGCTCGCCTTGTAACCAGAGGGTACTAGTTTCGAACCCCGGTGGGTGCGTACTGATGAAGAGTCCCAAACTACGACGAAATGGCTGTCCAGTACTCCCATGTTTTCCAGTGGTTCTCTAACTGATGTCAGCTCATGATGAAACCCTACATCCAATACGCTCAGCCATCACATCTCCTGACTATCTTTAAGCTAATAGTGAGTCGATGTAGTCCAATCCTGTAGCATTTTCTTACATTTGACAGGAGCAAATCGTATACCTAACATTCCAAGATTGTTGTTCCTCAAGGTGTTGACAAGACTCTTCATTTTATCAGCGTTTTCACCCAGAGGGAGACTATATTGGTATGAAAACGTATCTTACTAACATTTTTAATGTATAAATGTTTCATCTTGAATGGCCTTATCATTAAGCTTCGCGGTAGTAGGAAGTGGCTATGAACCAAACTTGTGTGAAGGCTAGTGATACTACCTAGCTGCCACCCGAACCTCGGTACGTTAGGCGACGGGGTTCGAACCCCGTGACCCCAATGGTAAGTGGTCGAGCGCCTAGACCTACGAGTCACAGCTCCACCACGCCTACCATGATGTTAAATAATAACTGAATCATAATCCAATGATCGATATATAATCTTTCATCTTTTGTTGATTCACAAAAGAGGGGCAATAGTATACAAAATGAGGTTGGACAACACTTTACATGAAGATTGTTACTCTGCAGGAATCAAAGGCAATTGGAAAATGTAGTCGCTTCACTCAACGCTATATTATCCTTGTTATGCTGAGGACTGTACTGCTTGCTACCTGAATGTTTTTAAACGTAGTCATGTAATTACTTTTACTGATATAGTTCTCAGGAAAAAAATTGTCAGACGTAATCAAGTATTTGATCTAGGAAATAACTTGATACATCACTTTTCCTATACACAATTATACAGGGAACATCCGGCTGATGAGTTCCAAAAATAGAAGAATCTCTTGTCTAGTATTTCCCTCCTAACTTCCCATCTATCAATTAATTTGTAGATTATGAATTTATTGCTTTTAGTAATGATAATAACAGTAATATTTGTATTTTGGAGAAAACAGTTTATGCATAATAAAGAATTTTCAGAGAGTTTTATTGCGAATTCTACCCTGTTTTCCTTTATCGCTGTGATGAGTAATACATGGAGAGTTGAAGATATGGAAAGGCTAGCTGGTCGTTGCTCGTAAGTGTCTCTGTCCTGTCTCCCATGCTAGGTGGTGACATAATATGGTGAGTAATATTGAGGTTAGCCGGTGAGTGTTCAGTTAGAAGAGCAAATCAATCCGTGAGGCTGTGAAGCTACATCGACTTAGGTGGCTAGAACATGTGTTATGCATGCCTAGCCATCGTCCTTGTCAATGGGCAATGTTATTTGAAGTAGAATCAGGTCGGGAAAAAGCTAGATGTGGCCAAACGAAAACATGGCTTCATCAGTCCATGAAATCTTTGACTGTTGGTTTGAGCCATCCATGTAGGCAGGTGTGTAGACTGGTTGACTGGATGGGTTCCTAAGGATTCTAAGGATCAATGGCTGGAGACACTTGGTCATACGGCTAAAATCGTTCTCAATGGCTTAGATGCCTTCACTCTGATCGATCTGATGTATCCAAAAGAAAGAAACCTATTGTTTTCCCATGTTACTAATGTTTTTCCTTCACATTCCCTCATATTATCGTGTTTTAAGATCTCTTATCTTCTCTCTTTTGTCTTCCTTTGTGTGGGATTCATGGAGTGTAGCAACTGGAACGGGTACACTTGTGTACAAAATTCATTGTTGAAGTCATCCAGTCAGTTATTCAGTAACTTCACGCAACTATTGTTTGGACCGGATATCTTTCGGCATTTATTTAAATTATACTACTCATGTTCTGATAAATTGTCTGTTAAAATGCCAGTTGGATTTCGAAGAAGCGCATCCAGAGTTTAACACCACTTGTCCGCTTATGTATCATTAAGTTTACTGGATTTGGTCGTCCTTAACTGACGAAAACACCTCACGAAATGGGGTTATTAATTGACTCATATGTATGTATCACTTGGGTCGTGAATAGAAATTACGGCTTCTAGGGCACATTTCCGTGTTATCCTTCAGTAGCCAAAGCCCAACTTGTCATTTCCCTTCCTGGTCTTGGCGCATGATGTCACTTAAAACAGTTTTCTCACCATGTGTCCAATGCATTTCCATTTTCTTCAACATATCTATCTGTCTGTCTGGATTCAACACAGAACTTTGCACCGAAGTGCACCAGTTCGAGTTCCCACGTTCCAAATAGCACACAAAGGTAGACAAGAAGATGAGTGATGAAGAGAATCAATAGAGTTTTGACAAGTATAAGAGTAAAACAGAATGAGCAATGGTAGAAAGGAATATGAAAGATTACAGAGACTGAATACATCTGCGTAAGCCATTGACAACGATTTCGAGCCATGTCACTGATTGTCTCCAGCTATTGATTCTTAGAGTCCCGAGGGCTGGCCCCAACCAGGAAGTCTGCATCTTCCTCCCTACCTGACTCAGTTTAACTGTCAAGGACTTCATGGATTGATGAGGCCATGTTTTTGTTTGGCCACCACTTACTCTTTTCCAACCTGCACCTATATCAGCTAGTAATGCCCGTCGGGGTGGGGGAAGCGATGGTTAGGCATACGCAGCACGTCACCTAGCCATCTCAATCTATGTAACTTTATAGCCTCGTCGATTGACTTTCCCTCTTTTTTCAACACTCTACGCCTAAAGTCAACATTACTTACCTTGTTATGCCACCTAACGTGAGAAAGAGATCGCAGACATCTATGATCAAAATCAGTCAACCTTTTCATGTCTTCAACTCGTATTGGCCATGTTTCAGAGCCATAGAGAAGGACGGAGCGAACTGCTGAGCAGTACACACGTCCCTTGGTTGATAGCCGGATGTCATGCCTACGCCAGAGACGCTGTAAGTTAGCGAAAGCAGCCCGAGCTTTTTGGACCAGTGCTGAGATTTCGTCGCCAATCAGTCCGTTGGTGCTGACACAACTTCCCAAATAGGTGAAGTGGTCAACATGTTCTATCACTTCACTCCCTATCACTAAGCTAGGAGTTGACGTAGTCCAGTCCTGTAGCAGCATCTTACATTTTACAGGGGCGAATCGCATGCCAAACATACGAAGATTGCTGCTCAAGGTGTTCAGAAGACTCTGCAATAGGTTCTTGGTTTGTTCATTGCTTTGGAGTTCCTTGTCGCTAATCAATCCTTTCCAGGCGGTCATGTTATCTCAGTATGGAGCGAAGGACTTCAGCAACACATTTCCATTTCACCTTTTTGTAGACTCATTTTTGTAGTTGGCTGTAGGATTGATTGCAAGTAAATTTTAATCTCCTCCTGATAGTATCTCCTGCATGTCACCCTCAGATGCACAACTTGTTGCTTCTTCCAATTGTGGCTTCCATTCAAGGATTTACCTAGCGCGCTTTCTCAGGGTGTGCACCCGATCCATCAATCCGTCATTATTTATTTTCGGCGTATGTTTTGGGCAATAGGAGGTTCTTGGTTGGTTTGTGTTGTGTTGTCTAATCCTATCCAGCTGGTCGTCTGATCTTCATTTTGAAATGAAGACAGTTTAAGACTATTTATATTTGGTTCGTATTTCACGGAGTATACTATCTTAAGCCAATATGATCTCAGTCAATGAACACTATTCATTACCTGATTTATATATTACTGTTATATCGTTAAAATGTGATAACTAAAACAAGATAATCAGACTGACTAATTTCAGTTATGCATCTGGCGGTACACTGTATGTGTCAGGGAAAGTCATCCACTTCATTGCTTATTGAGGCTGGTGTACTTCAAGGTGCTGTCCTTTCTCCTTTTCTGTTTTCTTTCTTCTTGCATACATGACTTGCCTCACTCTGATGAAATGAACTTTGTTAAGTATGCTGATGATCTAACTATTTCAATGTCTGTTAACTCCGAGCTAGACAGTACTAAGATGAATAGCTTTCTATCAGGAGTTAGCAAATGGTCTTCGTCTAATGGTCTTAAACTAAATCCTTCCAAATGTCAGACTGTTAATTTCATTTTCCGATGTAAACGAAAGTTAAATGAAGCTGTTGGTTCCTTTGACCGTTGCAAAATTGATGATACTGATATAGAAACCAAGTCTGAAGTTAAGTATCTTGGATTAATTCTTTCTTCTGACCTATCCTGGTCTTCCCACGTCTTAGCGACTTCTAAAAGAATATTTCGTTTGACTTTTTACATTAAGAAGTTAAGGCACTCAGGCATAACTCAACCCCTCCTCTTACAGTTTATCAACTCGTGCATTTTACCTATTCTTCTTTACTGTTCACCCTTATTCTTTCCTGGATTGCTTAAAAAGGACTATGTCATACTTCGTAGAACTCTGAAGACTGTCAGTAGGACGAGTGGTATCCCATTGGGCCATATCGTTGACATTGTCATTGATGATAGGCACTTGATGTCATGCAACAAATTTGCTAAAAGAATTTTGTCAGACTGTGAGCACCTACTCTACCCGCAGCTCCAACTTTGTGTCTCCTCAGGTAAAACAAGAAGTCTTTTCAGAAGACTTTATGCACGTACGTCTAAGTATAAAAATTCCACTATACCATATTTGGCACGTACTTTATGCGATGAAAATAGTGTTAGGCATGAACTAACTAACCTTCTTTGCACTACTAAATAAACCATTTTCCTCCATCCTTACAACATCAACCTTTATTGTTATTGTACTTCTCATATTTATAATCCTCTCAATTTTTTTGTTTTTATTTATTTTCTCATAAGTGTGAACATCATTTAAGCTGTGTTATAACTGTTAATTTTGTATTTCCCCTCACCATGCTGCTATATCAACAGAACATTAGATTCAATAATCTATAACATGCTAAAATTTCCAAACTGAATCGACAATACTGTTTGAAACAAACTCGCTGTTATTATCATTATACTTATTATTCTCAACTCGTACTTCAAATATTTTTGACTTTATATCGTAAATGTGGTTAATTTTGTTTTAATTTTATTTATATTTTGAGTAAATCAGATGCAATATTATGATAAATGCTGAGAATTCCATTCTGTATTATAAGTACTGTTTTTGGAATAAAGTAGGTATTGTTATAATTATTATTACTATTTATATCGTCAGTAGTAAATTGATTTACCTTGATTCTATTCCTTTTATTTTATACTATTTCTGTTCTCTTTCCATTTCACTTTCTCCATCCAATCCAGCTTGTTGCTATGGGACGTGCAACAGCGAATAGGCTGAAAGAACTCGGTATGACGGTTTCAGCAGTTGCTGCCTCACCAAAACCTGAAAGTTTATTGGCAGCAATGAAAAATTTGAAGTGACAAACTCCTTTTATCTATCTTCGATCTCATGGCTCTGTGTACGATGATATACTACTGTCTTTACCTTTATTACTGTCAATCTCTGTGTGTTTGTGCGTCTGTGCATGTGCGTGTGTGTGTCAACTGGAGGATATGATGTGCCTTATTTATTATCTTTAATATGAAAAGTGATCATTGACAATGATATGTGCCTTATCTTTGAATTAATCTATTTATTTGTTTGTCTTCTTGTCTCTGCTTCTTCCACGAATAACTTTCTGCTGGTTCTAGTCAAATGTTCTGTGTGGTGTAGTGTTTTCTTTGCATGAATCTTGTGATCTTCTGTGTGTTTTGTGTTTTTTTTTACAGAATGCATTTAACAGGTAATCTTGAAAAAGTAAAATCAATTTACTATTTTAATATTTGATTTTGACTTTTTATATCAAAGTTAAACTTTAGACCTCCCAAAAGAGCGTGAATGAGAGCCCCGAATGATCTTTGAAGAGAGTAATTGCGCTAAGAAGTAAATTTCAACCCTCGAACTCAACCGTGTAACTCTAATCGAACTCTGATCTATCTTTAACTGACCCTAATATCGTTATTTAGGTTGATCTTACTGTTCTTATATATGTCCAAACCAAGTTCACTTTTAACAGTTTGAAAAAATTGGGCATTGGGTATATGATATTCATTATAATAAAGGTTTTTTGTATTTCCCAATGAATGAAAACCAAAACAATACTGTTGTTTTTACTGACGTTTCGCTATTTAATGCTCTAATAGCTTTATCAAAGTATTATTAAACCAGAATTAGCAAAATCTCAGCTTATATATAACAACTTAATCATCGTTCCTCAGCATGGGGTCATTTTCGCGTAGTCAAGTTGGCCAATTGGTAAAGATAACAAAACCAGGTGTAGATTGTTGGATTTGATAAGTGTGTAAAATTATAAAAGCAGCGTGTGTTTATATAATGAAATTGCTTATCACATTCGTGTTGATTTTGTCACTTCATGGGAAAGGCAGTGTTGTAACCAGGTCAGATTCTGTTTTAGTCCATCATTCCTATTCAGACAATTTGTATTCCACTTGATATGAAGTGCTTCTGATGATATTAGACGTTCTTTGTGATTTCTGAAATGCTTTTTCTGGATGATTTCAATATTGTCAAAATCAATTTTGTGACCTGATTCTATAGCGTGTAGACCTGTAGCTGATGATTTTTCAAGCTTTTCTAGTTCATTAACTGGATTTCCCGGTGGTCGGAGAGATGCTCTACGGTGTTCATTTCTTCTGATTTTGATTTCTTGCGATGTTTGTCCGATGTGTATCGCATCACATTCCAAGCATTTCATTTTGTAGATTTGGTCTTTTATATGGACAAGGTTGTTTCGCAGTGTGTTTGTTATTTTGAAGAAAACTCTGAAGTCGAGCTTATTGAGTACTCTTCTGATATCGTCTGACTTCTCCGCTCAATGTGGAATGACGACTGTTGAGGTCCATTTTTTCGGAATACGTTTTGGACCATACTTAATAATACTTTGACAAAACTATTAGTAGCATTAAATAGCGAAACGTCAGTAAAGAGAATATCGTTTGGTTTTTCATTCTTTGGGAAATACAAAAAACCTTCATTATAATAAGTGTTCTTAGCCTAAACCCTGTTATGATGTCAACCTGTTTTATATTTTGCAATAACAACAATGAGATTAATAATAGAGACACTCTGTGATCACGAATACCGCTTGACTATGCCCCTGGCCTCTGTGTACCTGAGCGAGAATGCATCAGCAAGTCCTAACTTTGTCTTCTTCTCTGCAATCCTCATCAGACGGTGCATAGTCTCATCTAGATGCTAGAAGACATATTTCGGCGAGCTCCGAATTCAATGAGGAGCGAAAGCTGCACAAAAGGAAACTTACGAAAAGTCTCCGCAAGGACCGTGAACAGTGGTGGTTGACAAAGGCGAAAGAGATGGAAAAAGCATCGGCGATAGGCAACTCTTTAGACTCATCAGGGAAACGGGTGGGAGAAGGCAAATCATAAGTGAGACTATTTGTGAGAAAAATGGCTACTTAATTAGCTCTCAGGATAGACGCCTCGAACGCTGGAAAGAACACTTCGAGGAACAGTTTAACTTGCCTACAGCCACACTGAGCTTCCCCGCCATCCAGCACACACCCGAATGGGATATAAACACTGGCCCGCCCTCTGTAAGTGAGGTCACCAAAGCTATCTGTAATTTGAAACGAGGCAAAGCGGCAGGACCCGACGGAATTATTCCGGAGGTGTTTAAATATGGGGGTGACATACTAGTATATAGTTTAACTAAGGTACTAGGTAACGTCTGGGAGTCAGAGACGGTTCCATCAGACTGGGGTAAGTCACTTATTATACCAATATTCAAGAAGGGAGATAAGTCCTCATGTGATAATCATAGAGGAATCAGCCTAATGAACACAGTCTCTAAAATCCTAGACTCAGTAATCATGAACAGACTAAGCCGAACTCGGGAGGAACAAACGAGGGAAAATCAAACAGGCTTTAGGCCAGGTAGAGGGTGCATAGATCATATCTTCACTCTCCGACAGATCCAAGAACATAGACACACTTTTAGGCGTCCAACAATTGCCATATTTCTTGACTTGAAGGCGGCCTTCGACTCCGTGGATCGAGAGGTTCTATGGCAATGTTTAACTATGAAGGGAGTGCCAAGGAAGTACATTGCACTAATCAAGGCACTCTACTCAAACTCACGTAGCTGTGTAATGGCTTATGGGGAATTGTCATCTGAATTGATAACAACCAGTGGTGTCCGTCAAGGATGTCCACTTTCCTCTTTTCTGTTTAACTTCATCATAGATATGCTAATGGAAGTATCCTTAACTGAACTTAACGACTTAGGAATCGACTTGTTACCAGGGAATAGTCTTATAGACTTAGAATACGCAGACGACATAGTCCTGTTATGGGGGGGACGCTGACAAAATCCAGAGTCTTCTGAACACCTTGAGCAGCAATCTTCTTATGTTTGGCATGCGATTCGCCCCTGTGAAATGTAAGATGCTGCTACAGGACTGGACTACGTCAACTCCAAGCTTAGTGATAGGGAGTGAAGTGATAGAACATGTTGACCACTTCACCTATTTGGGAAGTTGTATCATCACCAACGGATTGATTGGTGACGAAATCACAGCACGGATCCAGAAAGCTCGGGCTGCTTTCGCTAACTTACAGCGTCTCTGGCGTAGGCGTGACATCCGGCTATCAACCAAGGGACGTGTGTACTGCTCAGCAGTTCGCTCAGTCCTTCTCTATGGTGGTGAGACGTGGCCATTGAGAGCGGAAGACATGAAGAGATTGTCTGTTTTTGACCACAGATGTTTACGATCTCTTTCTCGCGTTAGGTGGTATAATAAGGTAAGTAATGTTGACGTTAGGCGTAGAGTGTTGAGCAAAGAGGGAAAATAAATCGAAGAGGCTATGAAGTTACATAGATTGAGATGGCTAGGTCACGTGCTGCGCATGTCTAACCATCGCCTCCCCCGATGGGCATTACTAGCTGATATAGGTGCAGGTTGGAGAAGAGTAAGTGGTGGCCAAACAAAAACATGGCCTCATCAATCCATGAAATCCTTGACAATTAAACTGAGTCAGGTAGAGATATGTAGACTTCCGGGTTGGGACCCGCCCTCGGGACACTAATAATCAATGGCTGGAGACAATAAGTGACATGGCTGAAAATCGTTGTCAATGGCTTACGCAGATGTATTCAGTCTCTGTAATCTTTCATATTCCTTTCTACCATTACTCATTTTGTTTCACTCTTATACTTGTCGAAACTCTATTGATTCTCTTCACTCATCTTCTTGTCTACCTTTGTGTGCTATTTGGAACGTGGCAACTGGAACTGCTGCACTTCGGTGCCAAGTTCTATGTTGAATCCATCAGCAGCATCTCTTCGCAGATGATCCCCTCCATATCAGCTTCGGACACAAGCCCAAATCGTCGTTACCCATTCGACATGCACTCAAGCTGTCGCTTAGCGTACGACGTCATTCGACGGTCTCCTTAGTATGTGCCCGATCCATCTCCATTTTCTTCGGAATATTTGTAAAACAATAAGTTCTTGGTCGGTTCTTTTCGCAGAGTTTCTCGTTGCTAATTTTGTTCTGGCATTTCGATCTTCATTATGGAGGCGGTGAAGGCAGTTGTTGTTAAAAGTGTGCAGCTGGCTGTTGGGAATGATTTTCTTGACACGCACGCCAAGTTTTTGACCTATATAGAAGAAGTGACTGACTTAACATCACTGTTGAAAATCTGAATTTTGTTTTCCAAACTAATTTCATAGTAATGAATGTCAGTCCTGCCTTACCGATTCTGGCTTTGATACTATCCGTTCCACCTGTAGTTGAAACGATGTCTCTTAGATAAATGAAGCAAGTGGCCTATTTCAAATTTCTCCCGTTGATAGTGAAGTCCTGTCTTCTCTGTTTCTTCTACCAGTTTATTGGTTTTCGCCTGTAAGTCTTCGAGTTAATTAGTAATATAATCATGATCAATAAAATAGTGGGCGTTATTTTACATAGGGACCAATTCTGATTGGCTTATTTCCAAACTGACCTTGATCACCATATTACCAATAAAGGATTATCGATTGTTCATCTGTTGTCTAGATATTCAGCTTCTAACCTTAATCTTTCTTTAATTTAACCTTAAACTAAGCAGAAATTGATTTAGTTGTGTTCTCTGAGCTGGTTGATTTAACTACGAAGCATTCGTTGTCCCGTTTCCAGACATCTTCAACACAGGCATTGATGTCAAGTGAACTTGTTTGAATTATCCGTGAATGATATAATTTAGAAAACAGAAAGATTGAGCGAAGAAATATTTACTTTTCAATTAGATCATCATCTCTGGCTCTACTCTAATATATATAGCATTTTTATTACAATACACAACAGTTTACCAATCAAGTGGCACTGATATGTTTGTTAACAATAATTAGTCAGTATCAACATGTCAAGGGGGTGACCATTAACGAAGAAAATTAATACACACAATTAAAACGTAGAAATGGTTGCAACACATGGATTGCGTAATGCATAGTTTTGGAAAAATGAGGAGTAAGAGAGGAATAAGCGTGTGCACATGTTGATTACGTAACAGGTTGAGAAAGAAAATAAAACGATTTGAACAACGATAATTTGTAACTAAGGTTGAAGTGATTTTACAAGGGTAACATGTAATTAAATATGAAGTAGTCAGAAAAATAATCTGAAGAATTATAATTTTTCAAGGCTTAGGGGGAGGGGGACGAAGTAGTCCGGTTTATACATTCATGTAACGATGGCCAATATGAGGAAAGTGGCTGTACAAATTTCTTTTGAACATACAGATTTGGCTTCTTCAGGTGGATTCCTATTG